CTGAATAAGAAATTCCAAGAGGTCTTCACCTTAGAGCAAGGAGAAATCCCAAAGATAAGAGAGGGAATAGCTAACCAGGAACCACTGGAAGAGTTTGAGATTACCAGCGGGGAAGTAAGGAAGTGTTTACTAGAGTTAAATGTGACATAGGCTATAGGCCCAGATGGAATCTCCCCTTGGATACTAAAGGAAGGAGCAGAAGAACTGTGCCTCCCACTCTCCATAGTGTATAACAAATCACTGGCAACAGGGGAACTGCCAGAAATTTGGAAAGCAGCTAACGTAGTCCCGATATACAAGAAAGGGGATAGACAGGAGGCACTGAATTACAGGCCAGTGTCCCTAACCTGCATACCATGCAAGCTGATGGAGAAGATTGTGCGAAGAAAGCTAGTGGAGCACCTGGAGCGAAAGAACTTTGTAACACAGCATCAACATGGATTCAGGGATGGCAGGTCCTGCCTCACAGGGTTACTTGAATTCTACGACCAGGCAAAAAAATAAGGCAAGAAAGAGAAGGGTGGGCAGACTGCCTATTTTTGGATTGTCAGAAAGCCTTTGATACAGTGCCACATAAGAGGCTAGTGAAAAAGCTGGAGATGCAGGCTGGAGTGAAAGGGTACTCCGTTGGATACAGGAGTACCTAAGCAACAGGAGACAACGAGTCAGTGTGAGGGGTGAGGTCTCAGATTGGCGAGATATTACGAGTGGAGTCCCGCAGGGGTCAGTCCTTGGACCTATACTGTTTCTGATATATGTAAATGATCTCCCAGAGGGTATAGAATCGTTTCTCTCAATGTTTGCCGATGATGCAAAAATTATGAGGAGGATTGAAATTGAGGACGATAGTAGGAGGCTACAAGATGACCTAGACAGACTGAGTGAATGGTCCAACAAATGGCTGTTGAAGTTCAACCCGAGTAAATGCAAAGTAATGAAACTAGGCAGTGGAAATAGGAGGCCAGACACAGGATACAGAATAGGAGATGAAGTACTTAATGAAACGAACAGAGAGAAAGATCTAGGAGTTGATATCACACCAAACCTGTCTCCTGAAGCCCACATAAAAAGAATAACGTCTGCGGCATATGCGAGGCTGGCTAACATCAGAACAGCGTTCAGGAACCTGTGTAAGGAATCATTCAGAATCTTGTACACCACATATGTAAGACCAATCCTGGAATATGCGGCCCCAGCATGGAGCCCGTACCTTGTCAAGCACAAGACGAAGCTGGAAAAAGTACAAAGGTATGCCACTAGACTAGTCCCAGAACTAAGAGGCATGAGTTACGAGGAAAGGCTGCGGGAAATGTACCTTACGACACTGGAAGACAGAAGAGTAAGGGGAGACATGATCACAACCTACAAAATCCTCAGAGGAAACGACCGGGTAAATAAGGATAAACTATTCAACACTGGTGGGACGCGAACAAGGGGACACAGGTGGAAACTGAGTACCCACATGAGCCACAGAGACGTTAGAAGGAACTTTTTCAGTGTCAGAGTAGTTAACGGATGGAATGCATTAGGCAGTGGTGCGGTGGAGGCTGACTCCATACACAGTTTTAAATGTAGATATGATAGAGCCCAGTAGGCTCAGGAATCTGTACACCAGTTGATTGACCGTTGAGAGACGGGACCAAAGAGCCAAAGCTCAACCCCCGCAAGCACAAATAGGTGAGTACACACACACACACATACACACACACACACACACACACACACACACACACACACACACACACACACACACACACACACACACACACACACACACACACACACACACACATTAACTTCAGAATATCTTTTAAATACATGGATGGTGATATACTAAAGAAATTGTTCACGACTTTTGTTAGGGCAAAGCTAGAATATGCAGCGGTTGTGTGGTGCCCATATCTTAAGAAGCACATCAACAAACTGGAAAAGGTGCAAAGACATGCTACTAAGTGGCTCCCAGAACTGAAGGGCGAGAGGTTAGAGGCATTAAATATGCCAAAACTAGAAGACAGAAGAAAAAGAGGAGATATGATCACTACGTATGAAATAGTAACAGGAATTGATAAAATCGATAGGGAAGATTTCCTCAGACCTGGAACTTCAGGAACAAGAGGTCATAGATATAAACTAGCTAAACACAGATGCCGAAGAAATATAAGAAAATTCACTTTCGCTAACAGAGTGGTAGACGGTTGGAACAAGTTAGGTGAGAAGGTGGTGGAGGCCAAGACCGTCAGTAGTTTCAAAGCGTTATATGACAAAGAGTGCTGGGAAGACGGGACACCACGAGCGTAGCTCTCATCCTGTTCCGCGGCCCCAGAGGCTCACACCTGCACCTTCGACGCACATAGAACTGGACGCAGATGACCCATTTGACTCATTAGACGAAGAAGTCTCGGTGGGAGTACCATCTTCTCCTCAGCATCTATAGCCCGAATGACTTCCTACTCTAGGCCTCTCCTAAATCTAAAGTGAATCTTAGCACCGAACTTCGTTCGAATGCATCCTTAAACCACAATAAGTGCTCAATATCAGGTCCCTGCAGGAATATGTCGTCTACAATATACACTCTGCTTTAGGCCCATGTCAACAAGGACTTTCTGTTCGATGTAAAAATTAGCAAATGGAACACAAAGGGAAAAACCCATAGCGATATTATCTGCTCGCTACGGGAGCGAGTAGCCATATTTATACATGTACCCATCAGGACTCAGGTTGGGTGCCTCTTTGGTACATGATTACCTGGAACATACCTGGAGAGTGTTTCGGGAGTTCTTCTCCCCGAGCCCGACCTCGGGCCAGGCTCCCTCAGCTTGGTTTTGGTTTGCTATGAGTAGCTTCCTAAGTGTGCCTTGTGGGATGTCAAGTGGAATACAAATTGGATTCCAATAAACTCCGTCTATCGTTCCAACAGTCTCATCCACGGGCACATAGAGGAACAGCGATTCTACATGGAAAGGCGCTCTCACTTCTGATGTCGGCGATAAGTCAACATATTCCTTCGGCGATCTAAGGCTGAAGGAGTATGGCACGAATGGATTTAGCAGAAAGTTAAGTTGCTTAGCTAGTCTGTACGTGGGCGTAGGTATCTGGCTGATGATTCGACGAAGTGGGATTTCAGGTTTAAGGGTTTTCAGAGTCCCATATACATATCTAGTTTGTACTCTCCAGTAGCTTTTGTCAGGTGAAGTCCAGACATTTTGGCATTGACAGTTACAATCAACCTGTTTACATTCGTTTTCAGTTCGGCAGTAATATCCCTAGTGATCCTATAGAATTTAGTGTGATCAGAAAGTATTGGTTTAATTTCTCAAAATATTTATCTTTTTTGATGATGACTTACAGTGATAATAATTTATCACCTCTTCTAATAACTATTTCCTTATTCTCACAAAGCTCCTTAACTGCCGCACTAAGCTTAGGCGACCTCAGCCCCGCTCCTGTGCCAGGTAAGTACACTACGGGCTCACCATAGCCCGTGCTACTTGGAACTTTTTGTTCCGAGTAACTGAATCTAAAACAACAACAACTACAGCTCAGGCTACAGTATGGTGCTTCTGTAGTTATCACGATTTTTCTCTTCCTCCGCCAAACGCTGTGCTTGCAATGTATCCTCGGTGGTGACCTTCCTTGTGTCTCAAGGTCGAATGTGTCGTCCAGCAGGATCTCCAACGCCACCTTCCCCGCCATCTCACTTGCTCTGGACATAACGTGACAGCTTATTCCCAGATTTAAGAAAGCTTAGCTTTGATGTCCATAGGGAATGGAAAGGATGGGGGAGGTAGAGGGATGGGGAGATGAAATTCAGGAAGAGGATGCGGGTGTAGAGAGAGAGGAGGTTCGGCCAATCCTAATTCTGAGGTCATCGTCGATGTTGGTGTGTGTCCATTGGTCTTAATGTTGCAGCTGCGTTTTGTAAACTATGATTTCTATCTCTGCTTTGTGTATCTGATGTATCAGATCTTGGCGATGTTTATGTTTATTTTGTTATTTATATAAACAATAGTTTCTACATTCTTGTAAAGCCACTAACACGCATAGCGTTTCGGGCAAGTCCTTAATTCTAATTTTTCCCCGGAATACGACCCGCCAAATCGTTTAACAACCAGGTACCCATTCACTGCTGGGTGAACAGAGGCTACAGTTAAGGATTGGCGCCCGGTCAATCCTCCCCGGATATGATACGAACCCAGGCCTAAGTGCTCCCGAAGCGCCGGGCGAGTATCTTACCACTGCGCCACGCAGGACTGTTCAATAGTGAAGGCTTCGTTTCTTGCTACTGGGTCATTTGTTTTAATATTAGTATATTGTGGTAGCAGTCTTTTCGAAGGCACGTATTATTGAATATTACAGAAAGGCCTTATACAAATATAAGAAAATTCAACGAGAGTGCTGGATTATTTCAAGCTTAAGTTAAGCATATATGAATTAATTTGGTTGTGTACAAATGGGAGCTTCCTAGCATGACCCAATAGGCCTTTATTTATTTATTTATTCTTTATTTATTATAGAAGTTATCTGTTCCTGTACGCACCGGTGTAACACCAGTGCGTACAGGAACAGATGACTTCTGACTCTTGTTAGCAGGCTGAGAGCTTTCGCTTTGCACAGCACATGGTAACCCTAAGTCTAAGCCATTAATTTCCAAAGACAAGCACTTGGTTAACACCAAGTACAGTGTTACTGCATTTACTTGGTTAACACCAAGTACAGTGTTACTGCATTTACTTGGTTAACACCAAGTACAGTGTTACTGCATTTACTTGGTTAACACCAAGTACAGTGTTACTGCATTTACTTGGTTAACACCAAGTACCCAAATACTGTTGAGTGAACTGAGCTATGTTACAGTTAAGGATTGATACTCAAATAATCTTCCCTGGCCAAGACTCGAACCCAGACAAATCGCTGGCAAGGTGCAGGGCGAGTGTGTTACCACTGCACCAACAGTAACTTTCTAGTTTACTCTGTTTTAATTTTAATAGGAATTTTCTTACCTTTGGCGTGAATATGTTGAGGAATAGACAGTCTTCATTGCCGACGAGGTCGACATTTCTGCCGGTGATGAGTGAGATCATTGTGTACTGGGGGCAGAAGGGAGGCATCTTCGAGCCGTCTTTAATACCCTCCCATTTCTTCACTTCTACAGGGTCCTGGACAAATAAATTAATATATAAAATGTATTTTAATATGTCAAATGTTTAGGATTAAATGTAATATAAGTTTTAGGACTGCTAGTTATAATTTATTCTTGTTTATTTTGTCACGAATACTGTCGTCATTTGCGAAATTCTGGCCTTGCGGTTCTTCACTAACTTTGAATCTGAGGTCTCCGACAGGCGGCTCAGCATATGGTATGGAGTAATAGGAATAAAAGGTCTTGCCTCCTAGAGACTGCTCCAGCACCCCAGACACCTCGCCTGAGATGGTCGTCACCACCGGCACCTCAGATATCTAAGAGACATTAGAAATATGTGTAGAATAATAAACCCCACATTGTTTGAGTTAGGAAAATACTATTTGTCAAATATAAATACTGTTCTTAAAATATTAAACAACCCAGCAGTTTTCTTCTTATAAGGTGTGTTGTACATGCTGCTACGGCGGAGGGAGCACTCACAGGATGAGTGACGGTGCCCAATAAACTCGCCCCTCGGGGTAAAATTTAACAAAATGTTACCTCCCCAAGCTGCGTGTCCTTCCCCAGGTCCCCTGGCGCCTCAGACTCCTCCGCCAGCGCCACCGTCACCACCAGCCACATTATGACACACCGCACGGAGCGCCCCATCCTCACTCTGCCACCTGCACACGTCGGTCGGGGAAAGGCGGGGTCCAAGAGCTAATAGCTCGATTCTGCAGACACAAAAAGTAAATATAAATACACGAAAGTGAAACTGCATTTATATGAATGAGTGATTGACTAGAAACAGACAGCACCAAGTTCGTAACCATTTCGAGGAGTTGAAGAAACATCGTCTGGGAAGAGGTGGTACAATACTAGTCAGGAAGACTGACATTGAAAAACCTTTGAAATAACTAATGAAGTTAACTTCGAATGATTCATCAGCCAGGTGCAGCCAGTATAATCCCAGGTACTTGTTCCTCACCCACGACCCACAGTATACTATAACTCGTATAATCCCAGGTACTCGTCTCACCCACGACCCACAGTGTACTATAACCCGTATAATCCCAGGTACTCGTGTCACCCACGACCCACAGTGTACTATAACCCGTATAATCCCAGGTACTCGTGTCACCCACGACCCACAGTGTACTATAACCCGTATAATCCCAGGTACTCGTGACACCCACGACCCACAGTGTACTATAAGCTGTATAATCCCAGGTACTCGTGACACCCACGACCCACAGTGTACTATAACCCGTATAATCCCAGGTACTCGTCTCACCCACGACCCACAGTGTACTATAACCCGTATAATCCCAGGTACTCGTCTCACCCACGACCCACAGTGTACTATAAGCTGTATAATCCCAGGTACTCGTCTCACCCACGACCCACAGTGTACTATAACCCGTATAATCCCAGGTACTCGTCTCACCCACGACCCACAGTGTACTATAGCTATGCTTGTTGCCACTGTTTGTTCTGGCACCAGCTACATGCCAGTCTAAAGCAATAATTACTGTTTATATTTGCATTTTATTGTCTATTATTTCCACTGTCCATTACTTTTAATGTCCATTTTTATTGTGCATTACTTTTATTGTCCATAACTTTCATTGTCCATTACATTTATTGTCAATTATTTTTATTGTTCATTACTTTTATTGTCCATTACTTTAATTGTCCAATAATTTTATTGAACATTACTTCTACAGACAAAAATCAGAAGATACAACTGACAATTTACTATAAAACCAAAAAACGGCCAGCCTACTCATGAGAAACTCTCCAGACACAAAGCAGAACGTTTTAAAAGAGACCAACGTCGTCTATGCCTTCAAATGCCCTCTTGGGGATTGTAAGCCTCAAAAAACTCAGTATATAGGCAAGACAACAACATCTTTTTCCAGGCGTTTAATGATGCATAAGCAACAGGGCTCCATTAAAGAACATATAGCCTCTTTCTACAACCAAACCATCACCAGAGAAATCTTAGCAAACAACACAGAAATCATCGATAGATACAGCGATAGCAGGCGGCTCGACGTCTGCGAGGCACTACACATCAAGAAGTCAACACCAGCAATCAACAGCCAGTTAATGCACAACTATATTCTACCCACTTCAAGACTCCGCTCCAATATAGAAGCATCAAGAAATATAGGCCAATAAAAGTAGGCCTTCTGTAGTCACCTACCTTTAATACCTGTTTGTATTTCATTGTTTCGTGTTCTGTCTTGTGTTAAAAGTTTATTTTCACCTGATCCAAAACTATTGTAACATGTCACTTTACCCAAATGTAGGTATAAAAACTCGAAAGATGTTTAAGATCTATTCAGTTAAAGTTGTGTGTATGTGTGTAAACTAAAGTCTTTGAAAATGCAATAAGTTTTACGAAACGCGCTCAAGTGTCGCGTCAGACTAGAAATAAAAATGAATTTTGGAGAATTGATCTTTGAATTACCATCAACAGTGAAAAGAAACGTAAGAAAGATCGAGAAAATTCGTGTTAGAATTATTAATCTTACTTTTTCGGTCATATTTAATAATATATGTCTACAGGAAAGACTGCCACCAAAATATACTAATATATATATATATATATATATATATATATATATATATATATATATATATATATATATATAATATATATATATATATATATATATATATATATATATATATATAATACATATATATATATTATATATATATATATTATATATATATATATATATTAGTATATTTTGGTGGCAGTCTTTCCTGTAGACCATATATTATTAAATAAATATATATATATATATATATATATATATATATATATATATATATATATATATATATATATATATATATATATATATATATATATATATATATATATATATATATATATATATATATATATATATATATATATATATATATATATATATATATATATATATATATATATATATATATATATATATATATATATATATATATATATATATATATATATATATATATATATATATATATATATATATATATATATATATATATATATATATATATATATATATATATATATATATATATATATATATATATATATATATATGTCGTACCTAGTAGCCAGAACGCACTTCTCAGCCTACTATGCAAGGCCCGATTTGCCTAATAAGCCAAGTTTTCCTGAATTAACATATTTTCTCTAATTTTTTTCTTATGAAATGATAAAGCTACCCATTTCATTATGTATGAGGTCAATTGTTTTTTATTGGAGTTAAAATTAACGTAGATATATGACCGAACCTAACCAACCCTACCTAACCTAACCTAACCTATCTTTACAGGTTAGGTTAGGTAGCCGAAAAAGTTAGGTTAGGTTAGGTAGGTTAGGTAGTCGAAAAACAATTAATTCATGAAAACTTGGCTTATTAGGCAAATTGGGCCTTGCATAGTAGGCTGAGAAGTGCGTTCTGGCTACTAGGTACGACATATATATATATATATATATATATATATATATATATATATATATATATATATATATATATATATATATATATATATATATATATATATATATATATGTCGTACCTAATAGCCAGAACGCACTTCTCGGCCTACTATGCAATGCCCGATTTGCCTAATAAGCAAAGTTTTCATGAATTAATATATTTTCTCTAATTTTTTTCTTATGAAATGATAAAGCTACACATTTCATTATGTATGAGGTAATTTTTTATTATTGGAGTTAAAATTAACGTAGATATATGACAGAACCTAACCAACCGTACCTAACCTAACCTAACCTATCTTTATAGGTTAGGTTAGGTTAGGTAGCAGAAAAAGTTAGGTTAGGTTAGGTTAGGTAAGTTAGGTAGTCGAAAAACAATTATTTAATGAAAACTTGGCTTATTAGGCAAATTGGGCCTTGCATAGTAGGCAGAGAAGTGCGTTCTGGCTATTAGGTACGACATATATATATATATATATGTCGTACCTAGTAGCCAGAACGCACTTCTCAGCCTACTATGCAAGGCCCGATTTGCCTAATAAGCCAAGTTTTCATGAATTAATTGTTTTTCGACTACCTAACCTACCTAACCTAACCTAACCTATCTTTTTCAGCTACCCAACCCAAACTAATCTATAAAGATTGGTTAGGTTAGGTTAGGTAGGGTTGGTTAGGTTCGGTCATATATCTACGTTAATTTTAAGTTAAATAAAAAAAAATTGACCTCATACATAATGAAATGGGTAGCTTTACCATTTCGTAAGAAAAAAATTAGAGAAAATATATTAATTCAGGAAAACTTGGCTTATTAGGCAAATCGGGCCTTGCATAGTAGGCCGAGAAGTGCGTTCTGGCTACTAGGTACGACATATATATATATATATATATATATATATATATATATATATATATATATATATATATATATATATATATATATATATATATATATATATATATATATATTTATATATATATATATATATATTTATATATATATATAATAGTATATTTTGGTAGCAGTCTTTCCTGTAGACATATATTATTAAATATGACCGAAAAAGTAAGATTAATAATTCAACACGAATTTTCTCAATCTTTCGTACATTTCTTTTCACTGTTGGAGGTAAATCAAAAATCAATTCTCCAAAATTCATTTTTATTTCTAGTCTGACGCGACACTTGAGCGCGTTTCGTAAAACTTATTACATTTTTAAAGACTTTAGTTAACACATACACAACTGAATAGAACTTACAGATCTCCGGTTTTGTTTATATCTACATTTGAGTGAGGTGGATGGGGTGAGGTGGTATTTAATAAGGTATTAATTTCATCAACACAAGCCAGAACATGAAACAATGGGTATTGAATAGAAGTGATTGTAGAAAGCCTATTGGTCCATATTTCTTGATGCTTCTATATTGGAGCGGAGTCTTGAGGTGGGTAGAATATAGTTGTGCATTAATTGGCTGTTGATTGCTGGTGTTGATTTCTTGATGTGTAATGCCTCGCAAACGTCAAGCCGCCTGCTATCGCTGTATCTATCGATGATTTCTGTGTTGTTTACTAGGATTTCTCTGGCGATGGTTTGGTTGTGGGAAGAGAGTGGGTTGTGGGTCTCTTCCCACAACCAAACCATGTGGCTTTATATATATATATATATATATATATATATATATATATATATATATATATATATATATATATATATATATATATATATATAACTCTGAACTGTAATGCCAATCCTGGCCTTAAACCCTTCCTAGAATGTTATAACAGAACCAATGGGCACCGCACTAGAAACAAATACCAATATATTTATTTATTTGTTTATATACAAGAAGGTACATTGGGTTTGTGAGAATACATAGCATAGTATTTACAATCTTATAAAGCCACTAGTACGCGCAGCGTTTCGGGCAGGTCCTTAATCTAACAGATAATTTTAAGTAGGTAAATTCTAGCAGAATTAATAAAATGATAACAGATACATTGCAAGAAAAAAATGAGATGAGAGAGATTAGTAAGAATATTAAAGCACATTGGTATATTAAAGCTCTGATTGATTACATTGACAGCTTGATTGGTAATTTAAACAAGATTAATAGACACCAAACAGCAGATTGATAGCACATATAAAAAGACAGCAATGATCACAATGGTAAAGATGTTCGGATTGGGTACATAAAGATTGGGAGATTGGGTAG